AAGGCGAAACCTCACACGAACTGGACCTTTTAAATGAGCTGTGTATAAATAACTCTCTGTTCTTCAGTTGGAGATGAAGAATGGCGTTTTTTCTCATGGTTTTCAGCGAAAGTTTTATTGGTAGACTGCGCAAATTATTTCACTCAAGTTAAATATATAGCTTGCTATAGATTCATGTTTTAGCCGACAAACGTTGCAGATAGAAAAGCATAGCATATATCATCATGTTCATATAGCTTACATACATACAAAGTTCAATTCTTTCAAAACATTTGTGTTTTAAACTAAGTATACCACTATCTCACACGATACATTTCATATGATCCATTGGGCATTTATCCCGAAACGTGGTGACCATATATAGATACATCTTAGATTTCGCTCACACAAACACCTACCCACCTACTCACTCACTCACTCAGTCACCCACTCACAAAAATAAAAAAAGCAAATACCATCAGAAGTTTAGTGAGAAAACAATATTATTATGCTGAACTTCCTCAATGTACACAGTACATACTCACACACACAGTACTTACACATACACAGTACATACTCACACATACAGTACTTACACATACACAGTACATACTTACACACACAGTACTTACACATACACAGTACATACTCACACATACACAGTACATACTCACACATACACAGTAAATACTCACACATAAACAGTACATACTCACGCATACGCAGTACATACGTATGTATGTATGTATGTGTGTGTGTGTGTGTGTGTGTGTGTGTGTGTGTGTGTGTGTGTGTATGTATGTATGTATGTATGTATGTACATGTATGTATGTATGAATCCAATCCATTTAATGTAGTAATGAGATCGTTTATGTATATGTTGAACAACAAAGGGGAAAGTAAGCATCCTTGCTGCAAATCCCATCTCACATCGAACAACTGAGTAAAATCCCCTCACAACATTTAACACTCGTATATGAAGATATAATAGCCTCATACATCCGTCCACATATCTCAAGGTTTGATAACTTCTTTCAAAGAATAGCCCTTCAATAGTATATTAAGCCCTTTGAAGCCAATAAAGGTTAAATAAGCTGATTACTTGAGCGATTTCCTCGATTCCGCTATAGATGTTAAAGATGAAATGTGTTCCTCTGTCGACCTTTCCTTTTCCTTATTCGTCAGATAAAAAGTTATCGTTCTCAGCATACTTACACATTCTCTAATTTAACACAGAACAATAACGTTTATTGCTCGAGTTAGTAAGTGATATATACCTCTGTAGGATAAAGGTTCATATTTATAAACACATGATGATTTCGGGATAGGTTTGATACTTGTCTTCATCCATTCGCTCGGCATTTTTCATTTGAAAAACACATTTTAAAAAGTATGACTTTGTATTCTTCATCACACCTGGTGGTGATCCTGATACTTTCCGTTTTTCGCTCACAGTTCTGTATTCTCTGCACTTGCATTGACTTGCTTTCCCTCACCTTGGCCCTCTCGAGTCGACATCATTGCTCAATTCTGTGATTGGATCAGGAACGTGGCTCAAACTGAATCACCGAAGTGTACTCTCACACTGTTTATATAAATAGAACGTGATATATACTTCAGATCGTCTTTGCGTCTTCATATATCAATTAAGATTGCAATACATTCTTTAATTTCTGTGTGACTGTCAGCACTCTATGTGTCAGAGATGTTAATACCCGTTGGACTTTGCTGTTTTCATGGCGTGGCATGCTCCGAATTGATCTCCCAATGACAGTTTGAGGGAATCTTGTCCTCGTATTCTTCTTCTGTCTATTTGTTGACAGCGGTGCATGAGCATGGTCGCCGAGCATGCAGACGATTTCCTATCGCTGTTTAGTGACGTGAGTGATCTGAAAAGTCAAAATCACGTGCACCCAGGAATTGGATAGACCCGTTCGTCGTTATTTCCTTCATCTCCTCTACAACCACAATGCTTCGCATGAAACCTATGATTTCATATATTTACTGTAACTTTATTTCTGATGATTGTAAGTGATTATAAATCACATTGATTGAGGCGCTCGTACAAAATATCAAGCTTAAGTAGTGATTTTGACAGCTAGTAGTTTGGAGCTGTGGTTTTTTAACTTGTTTATATTCCAAACTCCATCCTAGTGCTTGACACCTTCGTTACCATACAGATATAGAGAGCACCGTTGTGATGACCTTGGTTACAGTTGTCGATCCTCCATGTTTCGAGACGCTTGACGCTAGTAGTTTCTAGAAGTATGGCGGAACCAACATAACGAGGGTGATACTAGGCCTCTTTCTACGACCTGACCTGTGATTTATCTACTTGCCATGAGTGAACGGGATACCTATCAGGAAACATCGACGCTTTTCCTGGATTCAAGAACGGAACACGTGCTTGTTCAAGATATTCAATTGTGACACATTCTGGACATTCGTGAGTGCACCGACTTATGCAATAGGGCCTAGTGTATATTGCTGCTGCCACATGTTGGACACATTGTATTGCCTGTTATCATTGTAAACCTGAGCCTGTGTGTTTCAATATACAGTAAACTACGGTTATAACGAACACGCGTATAACGAACTGACAGATATAACGAACTTACTTTTTTGGTCCCGACTCTTTGCTGTAGTTTAGCTGTATATATGCTTATAACGAACTACGGTTAAACGAACTAAAATTAGTAGTCCCTTTGAGTTCGTTATAACCGTTCTTTACTGAATTTGTTTATTATTCATTGATCGTGTGTGGTTATTTAATGACTTCACATATTAGTTCTCTACATATCAATTTCACACAGTTAAACTTCGCGTTTCAACTTATATTAACATCATAATTGTGGAATATATGTTTCAGAATGCCCAAAAATATTTTTGCGGTGTGTTGTCATATTTGAAACAGCGTCTTTATGACACAAAAGAGTATAAAAAGGAAGATCAATTGTAGCGACTGGTTAAATCAAGGAATGACGAACAGTGTGAATGTATTGACGCCACCAATGCAGATATGGCGCAGTTAACGTCGGTGTTAAATGCCTACATATGGGTGGTGGGAAAGCCTGTGGTTAAAGCGCTTGCACGTCACGCGAAAGTCCCTTGTTTGATTCCCAAAATACAATGTGTGAAGCCCATTGCTGATGCCCTAGCCCTGATATTGCTGGATTGTTGCTGAATGCAATGTAAAACTCAATCCATTCACTCATGCATTCTAAAAATAAAATCTTGAGGCAGAAGCCAGTAACTGTAAAATGCGTAGTTTGTGGTAAATTCGTCAAAGAATACAATAGAAATGAACACATATTTTACCAGAAACAGCATCTCGATCCTCGTTTCAATGTCCGCTTTAGCAGCAAAATTATTATTTCAATTTGACGCCGAATAACAATGTTGCAGTCGTAACGTATTGTCGACTGTTCCTTTTTAATCCCCTTTGATTATTTCTTTGTTTTTCACCTTTGAATAGTTGTTTTAGTTCACAACTACCCACAATTTATATACCTCGTCTTAAGACGACACGCTTCAAACATTCGCCGTGGAGAGATGCGTCCATTGCGAGTGCCAGAAACCTACTATCGTGTGTTCGGATCCCAGGTGCGACCATATTACGTTTCTCTGTTTGTCAGCACAAACCCGCAATGAGATAAACATCTAAGACATGCAGCGCCTCGGCCTTGTCTCTAACATCAAGCTGACTTACCCTGATATAACTGAAATATTCTTCTCAGCGGCATGCACACTCACCCAATTCATCTCTCACCAAACATGAAGCTCATTTCTGAATCCTTTTGATAAACAAACACAAAAACAGAACAAAGTGTGAATTAGCCATTCTTTTATTTTGAAGCATTTTGTGACAAGCATTCAAGAATCTGTGATCAACCATACCAACAATAAGTACTTCCATAGCAACACTTTTCAACAGTTAGTTAGGGGATATTTTGTACAAAAACATCGATAATTAGACATTTACGATTTTCCGGATGGAAAATGAAGAAAAGCATCGTACAGTGTCAAAACATGGAATTGGAAAACAGGGGACACATTTCAGCACTAGCATGGCTTCACACATTGCTGTCTATGTGGGGATTCAAACCCGGACAGACTGCATGTCAAGCAAGCGCTTTAACTGCTAGACTTCCCCACCAATCCCATAAATGAAATAACACCCAATTTGCATGTGAGAAAATTTCATATACAACTTATATATTTTCCTATACTCTAATAACGTATTTTCTATGATTTCACCGCAGGCATCGTCATCTGGTTTCAATCGTAAAACCTATTCAGAAGCGCATTGGTACGTTTGCAGTTTATATGTATATGTGTTTCATTTATTAAGTTTAATTAGGTTTTGACGTATGTGAGCAGCAAAGAAAAGACCTTTGTAACTCTTCTTGCTATTCATATTTTGAAATTGGTAATAATGGACATATAAAACTTCAAAACCAGAGAATATCCAATCTCTATTATTCAACGAACTCATTCCATTGGGTGTAAAAGGCAAAATAGCGGTGAAAAATATAAGAATGGATCACTGAAAATCAGTGATGACAGAAATGCTTGACGCTGTAAACTAGAATATATATATTTTTGACCATATATGAGTATCATTATTTTTGTCTTAAATGTGAGGACATGCGACGTTTGTCCAATTCAAATGTCAGTGTAAAGCACCGATGTTTGACCATTTTATTAGTGTTAGAAATGCCAGCAATATAAGTAGTTTATATAAACTGTCAAACTATATTTTTAATGTTCTACAGTCACGGAACAGTTTAATATTCACGTATTCATACATATTGGATACATGGAGCTGTTGTTTTATACCTTCTTATTGCAGTTTGTTGTGATGACTGGAAATATCAATCCGTGCTTCATAATTGTGTTCTGTAGACCATTACACCGAATATACCAAATCTCTCAAATGTAACTTCCATAATAGATCCACCCGGTAGGGATTCTTGGTTGGGTCACCAGCAACATAAAGTATGCTGGCCGTAAGCGGCGACCAAATGGACAGGGTGGTCAAGTTCGGTGACTGGGTTGAAGGCGTGTCATCGTACCCCGACCGGGTATATCATTGCTTAAAGTGTCACTAGATTGTCTGGTCCAGACTTACCTACGTATAAGCACCCGTCATTTAGCTGGAAAACTGCTAAATAAAGCTCGAAACAACAAACAAATATCATCCGCGAAGAATGAGATTGTAAAGATTGGCCTGCAGGTTGTATAGATACTTGTCTTAAACGAGTCTAGTTCAAGCTTAGTATTTAGCCTATCGCCTACTCGGATATAGATCGACTGTATAAGGTCCCTGGATAGGGTCAATGGGGGAGTTCAGAAGTCACGCAAAGCCAGTGAGAGGACACCAGAAATAAGGGAGGCAAGGAGTGTCACATAGGACATGGTGATTTTGCAGTTGGCGCCTGTGCTATTTGGTATCACAACTGAATCAGTTACGTCTATGATCGGTTTTGATGTCGGCGTCGATCGGGTTGTGGTGGTGTCGTCAGGGCCGCCTGTGTGTGGAAAACGTTTATTAGAGATGTTCGACTGTGAAAGGGAAGTAACATTTTGTAATAAAGGTAAACAAATATTATTACCAAGTAAACAGTATATAAATCAATGGAACCGAATCACTCTCAATAGTGGTCCAAATTTTCTTTCCCGAAATAACATGTTATTGATCATCCTTAATCCGGATTAACTTTTCATAAACCTCACTAGTAAACCTCACTCATACAAAACGTCAGTAATGGGGCTTAAAATCTGATGCTCATGTGAGATCACAGTGGAATAAGTTATGTTTGGACGCAATTTACATCTTAAATCTCACTAACGCATCCCTCTGATTGAACTGGACTAAGACTTTCAGTTAATATAGATTCTGCTAATGGACGAAATTGCAGCTGATGGCAACATTTTGTGACCAAGAAATCTGAAGACACTTACTTGAGCTGTCTCTACTGATGCACACGCCGTTTTGCACTGTGTATCCATTCTGTTGATACATAAAATGCACACTTTCAGTTTATTGATCACTGACAAGAATATAATACGTAGTATGGTAATGTACTGAAAAGTTACCAATGCAAACAATGTAATCTGAATGTCCTAGATATTAATCCTTTCGTTTTGGGGTTTAATCTGTCGAACGTCTAGTTGGCTTTCGCCGTGATATTGCTGGAACATTGCTAAAAGCGGAGGAAAACCATACTCACTCACCCACTTCAAGTTGACCTTCGCGGTTTGTGTCAGGGTTGAGGTAATCTCTATATTCATTTGTTTGATCAAATAATAAAGGCTTTTATGTTAATATGGGGTAAGGGGATGGAGGTATAATTCGTGGACGAAATAATTAGATATAAAAGTACCGGAAAAATATACTTTTGCTCCCAGTCCTACCTCTGTTATGTTCTTGTTATTTTGTTTATATCAGTGTAAATTAATTTTAGAAGAGATTCAAACAGGTCGACAGAACGATTGGCGCATTCGTGGTTATACCTCGGCATTATATTTACTGAATAATAATAAAAGCGTTAATTTGAAAAGTCTACATAGTCTATGGCTTACCCGTACGATCCAGATTTTGGACTCGTGATCAACAGTCACACACGTGCTATCATATACCAGAACTCCGACACTCTCGCTGTAGATGTTGTCAATGTTGGCCACGGAGATGTTGTAGGCTGTGACAATGCCCCTGGGTGCATCCACCCTTACAGGGCACCCCACTTCACTCAAGCTCCGCTCAGTACCATCTGATACCTGGGTATCCGGCTCATTAAGGGATCCACCATTGCCCACCTACAAGAACGTATAAAACATGTACAAGTATTCCCATGTGGATCGTGTCCGTGGCTGGTGGATAGGGCATCTACCCGGAGAGCGACAGGTCGGTGTTTCAATCCCAAACCATACCCAAAGGTGGTACTTCTTGTTACCCACTCGGAATTAAGGGGACAAGGACTATCCCGTATAATGTCTCAGAGCCTACAGCCATGTCAAATGGTAAAACCAGCATTAGTCCGGACTCGTACCAGAACACACGATTATTTCATAGAAAAGTTAGTTTGCCATGATCTGACAAATTAACTATTGTCATTGAATAAATCCGGTTTTATTTAAATTATTTTGGGTAGTACATTACTGGAAAGGCGGCGTTAATCCAGCTGGATCACTTGCTGAAGTGCTTAATACACCTGTACTTATCTGTAGCGATTGTCAAAAACAGTAGCCTTCAGACCGCTCAACTGCTTAACTATTGACAGGCATATTCTTATTCAATGGTACTACAAACTATCACCTACGTTTACATGCCCACTAGCAATATCATTATTAAAAGTTGAATACTCTGCTCAGCCTAAGTAAGCAGTTCAAGAGATATTAAGTAATTTTATTTCCTGAAAAGAAGATTTTGTCAGATGGACAACATGCTAGCCTTATTTCAACCTACCGTGAATTTAGTGGCTCGACATTTGATTTCTGCATCTTCTAGAAAGGTCAATCCAAACACTGTCAACATCTGGCAGTTGCTGGTAGCCAGGTCACAGTGACCGTTGTCCTCGGCCTCGTCCAGAACAGGTGGTTGGGTCAAGTCCACTGAACAGTCAGCACTGCCAAATCCGGCACTGCAGATGCACAGTCCTGAAAATGTTGGATCCATATCATCCTTATTGTGCTCACTTACCATACTCTATTTATTAATACATGTTTATTAAGGCTGAAGGGGCCGTTCTCGGCACATTTACAACACAAATGTACCCGAGGTACGTTTCTGTATACAGAAATGTACTCTAGCCAAATTCAAAGTACAGAAACGTGCCCTAACGTGAATCCATTCCGCCGCAGGGCCGCAGGGTGCAATGCGCGTAACCGGTTCATTAGATATTCGTCACTTCCTGTGTGCCAAACAGCGGTTAAATTCATCATGGAAGTAGGCGTTCGTCAGGAGGAACTTTTCGATTATCTTCTTAAGCTGCATTCCAGCGTATCATATAGTGACGTACGAACGTTAGTCTAATTTTCCGCGATGCACGCATGCACGCGTAATCAGACGAACCGGATCTACAACATGAACCAGTGTCGGTTTCGGGTTGGGGAATATGGACTCGTCTACCGTTAAGGGAACCAGTTACGTTTCTGTATTTTGATTTTGGCAAGGGTACATTTCTGTATACAGAAACGTACCCGGGGTACATTTCTATAGTACCTGTGTCAACAACGATCCTTTCAGCTTTATTTAGTCTAATGTTTATTCACTGGTATTAGATTAAGTAAGAGGTTTGTCGTAAAATAGCTTTACATAATGACCTATAGTTGCGCCAATATCCAGTGAATTCTTGGCTCGGAATCTACTGCAACAACAACAACAACAACAACAACAACAACAACAACAACAACAACATCGCAACGGCATCAATAGTGTATAAAATTAAATGATTTCAACAATAAACTCCCTTGAGTTTACGCGTGGTGAGATATACCTTTGTTGCAGGTGCCTCTGTTGCTACAGTCGTTGGGACAGACGTTGTTGGTGATCGTGTCTAACACAGTAGGGGCCCCTGGGTTGTTGGGGTCAGTTACCCAAAGATCGGGGTTGAGAAATACTTCCGTCTCACAGGAAGTACGCACTGAGCCGATAGACATCATTTGAAAGTCAGTTGTGCCAGAGAGCTGCAAACATTATAAATATGCACATAATGTTATGGTATTGTCATATATTCAGAACTTGATCACAGACATTATTAGCGTAAGGAAAGAAATACTCTGAATTTTAATTATTAAGGTCACCTAAACAACGAGCCATATTATTATTATCATCATTATGATTAGTATTGCCAAAGACTGTTATATGTTTGGCCCTTCGATAAAGTATTATAATTTACCATAATGTCACTGATGCAGTCGTCGCGGCTGCTGTTGATGTCGACTCCTGTGACGTTGCTGCACAGCTGGACGGTCGTGGACGCTGCGAACAGGTTGTTGCAGAATTCAGCCGCTGTCTGGTTGTTCCACACTTCTGTTGAAGTTTGCTGGAATTACAAAAGGAGATTATATTTGAATCATATAGCAAAAATTGTGAATCAAACCGTTTAAATAATTTAAATCACAATTAATTGTATGCAGAAACTTGCGTGTGTTTGCAGAATTGTCTTCAGGGAACAAAGTAATGAACATTTATAATATGCATTTGGGGGGATCCTCAACTTAGAATAAAAAACAAACAAAAATATAATGAATACCCTTTTGTATCGGTGGCCGATGTTCCTGTTCGGCACCATTCGCTTCTTCCTGTTGCCGTGTATAGCACAGGGAACGTCCTTGTAATGATTTGGCCTGACCACAGTGGTCATCGTCGAAAGAGAACATGTGACGTTTCTGCCGCCTTCACAGGAGCAGTACTTTGGGGACTGTTGCAACGTTGTAAGTGTCCTCACATAATCGGTGTTAAACAGGTCGTGCGTCCCTACTCTGAAAAATGGTAGCATATATGTGTCAAATGCGCATATTCGACAAAGATAACCACGTTGGACAATACGCGTTTTGTTCAGAAATTTCCATAGTTAAAACATAAAATGCATTCAAGGAACCTTACCTCCAGGAATTGATGAACGTATTTCTGTTGCTGCTCCATGTCTCATCTCTCATGATTAAGTCGTCACTGCGTGTGTTAGAGAGCTGGCCGCACAAACCACGACTTGCCAACGTATCAAGGATCGTGCCAGGAAGATAAACATTTAAGGCGTTCTTTCCGTTCCCAATGGAGAAGGTATGGACTTGTACTCGTGCCCCCGTGGGCAAATATATCTACAATGACAACATATCAGTGTACTTGACAAACGGTGACGTTCAAATGTCAGAACTACGATATCCTGTCATATGTGATGGATTCGTAACAATTAGAAATCTAGATTTAGGAATGACTTTTATTAGAAGGAATCCCGTATGCCCCAATGTTCATTTTAAAGATACATATTATGATAGCTAATTGTGAAAAAGGCTTATATCAACATTCCGTGATATCAGTTTGTAGTTTCATAAATGATGATTTATCTACACATGCAACTATATTTATACGCACATCATAAATACTGTATCTCTTTTTTATTTCCATGGCGTTGTCAGAGTCGTCACAGCCGTGATGCTGTATTCTCCATGACCTGGTATCGCAGCTATTGATGGAGAACACCGTCTTCCCGGATTGAACAGCTACCCCACAATTACAGTATCCAGTTCTCCTGGTACATTTCTGTACATCGATCTGTATCTGTAAATGCACATTACCATATTGATGATACAGGCAATATTTAAATTGTTAGTGATATAAGATTGATTGTTGAGGGTTGGTTTTGGGTTCAGGATTGTTTTCCCAAACAGCGACACGCATTTACGTGTATGTGTCGCTGTCTGTACTAGTCAGGACTAGCAGGGTTTATAGTGCTAGCCTACTGTGATACCATGCCGCAGTTTAACATGGATACCCAACTCAGTCACGGTATACTGACTCCGGCCCGGAAGTCTCCGTTCTATCCCCTCAATACCGTGCGCATGTTCACAAGTCTGTTGGGGGTGCGGTTGGTAGTTGTATGGGTTGATTGGTTTCTGGAGCAGGGGAGTAAACATCATCATTATTCTCCCTGTGCATAATGGATATAGTGACCATACTTCTGCTTCAACACATACATGTCATTGATTCATGGAGAATAAATGATCGTTTTTATATCTATATAGAGAAAAGAAGATATATATTGTTACCTCTATTAATTGACTAGCCAGTTTATATAATGTAAAACGTCCCTCCATCTGTAGAGTCAGCTTTCTGCAAAAAGGTCAAACATACGTTTTGTGAGATACAATGAATTATCACGTTACGTTTTGTCAATCAAATTGATAAGTTTTAATTAAACATATGTTTTAATTATTTACAGCTCTTTAAAGAAATATTGTCAGCATCACACTGTATAAAAAGAGTTCCGTTCGACAAAGCCTCTGAGAATGGGATGGTCGTTATGGGAATGGGGCCCTGTTTGTACTTGATGACTTGTCGCTACGTCTCCTTCAGTAAGTGGCCCGTGAAGATCCGGGTAGAATAGGTCTTCAGCATCCCATGCTTGCCGTAAAAGGTGACTATGCTTGTCGTAAGAGGCGACTAACGGGATCGGGTGGTCAGGTTCCTTAACTTCGTTGATGCATGTTATGGTATCCAAAATTGCGTAGATCGCTGCTAATGATGTCAATTATTGGATTGTCTGGTCCACACTCGATTATTTACAGACCGCCGTCATATAGCTGCAATATTGCTGAGTGCGACGTACAAACAAACCCTTTAGAAAGTGAATACTGTATTGTATTTTATACTGTAGCCAGCGATTGTAGTGGTATTTCATGGGGGTCTGTAAAGACTATAATCTACAATCATATAAACAAGTAACAGCTAAGATATGTGTTATGCCCAGGTAGTGACAACTATACGCATGACATATAAAATATCTTGAATTTCTCTGAAATGTTCCAAAATCTTAAAGCCAATAATGAACTCTCCAACTGGAGATTGGAAGTCTGAATAACCTTGTGCACTCACATCCTATCAAATTGACGTACATATGGGTCGTTATTGGAGGAGCATGATTTGCTTCTAACCAGAGCTGTATCTTTTAATACTGTAACCTGAAAGGAAAGGAAATCATAGTTACTTAACAAGACATTTGAAACTGATTTAGATAACCATGAGTATGATTTTACGCCACTTTTAGCAATCATCCAGCAAAATATCGAGGGAAGACACAATCGATCTGCCTCACACGTAACCATGTCAATAGACGAGCGAACGATTTAAGCACTAGGCTACCCCACCGCCCCTATTTATATAATAGATTCAACTAAAGATGTTGCAAGTGTAATCTAACGATTACGACTCTTTGTGGTTGGTGTCTAAAACTATCTTACCTTTACTGTTCCAATAGTATGGTTGGCCCAATAGGGAAATAGCAGGCTTGCTGCAGGGGTCCTCAGAACTAGTAGAGAATCCAGTCGTCCTCTGCCATATTCTGGTGTTATAGTTCCATGTACAGTAACAAATACTGGTTGGTTCCACTGTGTATAAGGTATGGAAATGGCGCAATCGTCCTGGGAAAACCCGTTTTTTGAGTTAGCAGTTGGTATCTCTATTGGCATGGAACAAAAAGATGAGAACGTCTCGGACAGGTTTCCGCATCGGAAAGGCGCCGTGGCTCGCACTCGAACCTGTCCCGTCTCACCTTGCTTGATCGTTATTTCTTTGGTTAGGATCTACGTAAAACATATGTTATAAAATATGTAACCACGTGGTGTCATCACTGATATTGTGTTGCATTCATAAAATGTTTATCACTATTTTACCTTTTACAACCTATATGATATCAGTTATATTTTAAGTCACTCACTCTGTTTCGGCAGATATTTCTAGTTATTCTCTGGTGGTTCGACGTTATTAGTTCATTAAGTAGGAATTTAGGTTTAGGCCTCTATTACCTCAGCTTTTAGCACTGATTAAATAAAAGTAGTAAGTGAGGTCTTACGCAGCCTTTAGCAACATTCCAGCAACAGCAAGGCGGGAGACAAACGTAACAGCGTATATACATTAACAACACATGAAACTGATCAGATTAGTAAAAGTAATACTACCTTAAACTTTACCTGTGAATTATCATGGTGTCATTAGATTCCTAATGATAGTGTTGATATCCCGAAATTGGAATGATTTGAAATACCAATACAGGGTGTTATGAAACGTAAACTATCTGCAATGGAATAAGATGGGATTAGATACGAAAAGATTTATGTCATCTTACCTCAAATCCGACATAAAAAGGATCGGAACTAGCTGTTGGACCTGAGGGCAAACTTGCACCGTACATAGATCGAACCTCACATGTTATCTACAAATGGAAATTCTATTTTTAGCATTAGTTATGTAAAGAATACTTCACTGACATGAAAAGTATGATATTGTGCCAGTAATTGACCTACACTTAAGATATATCGACATATAAAAACACACATCTAACTTCAAAAGCACCTTTTTATATAAAACTTAATCTTACTATTTGAGTTACAAATATTGTAATCTTATTTGACTTGATTTGACTAAAGATATTGTTACAGGAATGGTTGTCTATTTTGAGTCTGATTTGTGAATGTTCAGCTTTTTATAACACCGAGTATTGTACATGCTGTGACTATTGTATAGTGTCTACTCTTTCTAGACAAAGAAATCGTATTATAACCGACTATCAAAGTGTTTAGACGTCATGAAAAGCTGCGTGTGACTTACATTGAACCCGATTTGTGTTATTCCCTCTGCGCTAAGCTTCGCTTGAGTGATCTCTGTGTTGTCAATGTAGGCATTGAACATTATCATAGGTTGGTGCTGGTGTACAACGACGCCGTTGACATACCACGTGGTCTGGTGGAACAGTCTTTGGTCGGACGAAAGGGGAAACGTACAGCGGAAAAGTAGGTCACTTTTGTCGATACTTGTATCAGTAATATCAGGGACGACAGTTGGCTTGGGACTGTAGGTTGGCGAGTCTGGTATGAAAACAAGTAAGTCAAGCAATCTATCCTGAAATACATCACTATTGCATAATACTGAATAATTGTTGATATATCGGTGAACTCCCTTTGACATTGAGGTTTATACCGCCTTATACTTTAAATTTGTGTCTACTATTCTGAAGTGGGGTGAAGGAGAGTTCAGCATCGGTTCACGATTAGTTTACTCATGTAGCATGCGTGCACATCTCTGCCTGTCTGTGCATCTTTCTTTCTTTCAGTTACAAGGATTTCCCATTCAGACCATATACTGCGCCTGAGCTGGCAAGTCCTTGCTATTGCTATATCATCCTAATGCCGAGCGCCAGGCAGCGTAAGTACAAGAACCATCTTTCAACGAATTGGATGTGACGGAGCCAGGGCATTGAACCACCGGCCTTCCGCTCTCCGAGCAGACGCTATATTCACTAAAGCACGGAGGCGGGTCGTTATTTATTAACTGAAACAAAACATTAAATACTATAAAATACACCAAAGTGTATGAAATATATACTCACTGGGAGTGATCTCACCTGTAAAAATGAAATTAGTGAAAGTTATTCACAATAGAAACATAATTAACATGAATATATCATTGTTCTTTAGATGCTAGGTAGAATTGTAAGATACATCTGTAACATCTTTTTTATGAATTAGAAAGAATCAAATGACTGAAATGGATTTAACATAACTTCGAACAAGGCTAAACATGGCGATCAGCCAATCCTGGCAGTACAAAGGGGCACAACTCTGCACAGGTCACTGGACCACCTTCTCCCCTATGGTGAAGATTTCTTTAGTAATCAAGATTCCTATTTCCTCTTTGACACTTCTTTACATTCCATTTTAATGACAAGTTGAGAGGAGAAGCAAGTAAAATAAGACATCCAAAAGCTTACGGAAACAGTAGGAGCTCTGATGAATAGGTGATGCTATCAGATAGTAGACTGTGTAGCCGTTGCAGTCCTCAACTTGTACGGTAAACTGATTCGAACATGTGTTAGATGTATCTTGAATACACATGGTTGCTGTTGTTCCAGAAATACCTGTAAGAAAAGTTACTACATTACAATATAATAAATATTGATTTGTTAATTGAAGTAACTATCATTTGTTTTGTCTTTGGCTAATATTATTACGTTTGCTTTTAACATTGCTGTCTTTTAGGTATATTTTTCAGAACCTGGATGTTTTTTCCCCAAAGGACGGAGGTTTAAGACATAAGGAAAATGTTTTAAAATTGCTATCAGATTCATATGACCAACAGTTGAACTTTGCGCACTAAACAACATCAAATACGTCGAAAAGGGCACATTAGTGATGGAATTACATGGATGGATCACTGAAATGAATCGTGTCACCAGGTAAATATCTTCTCTTCGGGAAGGACCCGCTTCCCACATAAGTGTCATCAAAGGGAGAATGAAAGTGAGAAAAAAAGGTGTGAAATGTAAATGTCATCATATAAGATAGCATCGCGCATCATGAAGAAATGCGACCTGTAATATTATTATATTCATCTGAATGTCTCCTGTGACATTTCTGGAATGACTTTACCAAAGCGTTTTGGGTAAAAACGTGAATGAAAAGCGAAGAAAAACTAAGTTGTATACAAAATGTGTGAATAATTTGAAAAGCACCTAAGAAATTGGGAAATGTAGACGTTATAAGTTGAGTTTGGGATTCTACGAATTTCTTTTGACTATATCACGTGACAAGAATGGAATACCAATCTCAGATGCGGGATAGACTAGGTCTCAAGCAACCCATGCCCGTAAAAGGCGACTATGCTTGTCGTAAGAGGCGACTAACGGGATCAGGTGGTCATGATCAGGCTCGATGACTTGGTTTGAAGCACGTCATCGATCCCAATTACATGGATCGATGCCCATGATGTCGACCACTGGATTGTCTGGTCCAGTCTCTAATATTTACAGACCGCCGTCATATAGCTGGAATATTGCTGAGTGCAGCGTAAAACGACAAACCAATAAAACCAATCTCTTAATAAAGTGAGCAATGTGTGTGAAAGTAAACTCACTTTTTCGCCATATCGGGTACAGTGATCCGCAGCGGAGGAACCCAGGGGCACTATCCTCAAGTACATAGTTACCGGCGCCGTACCACCCTTGAGGGAGCCTTCTGTCATTTATTGTGGCTCCTCCAACCTGGGTTGCGATGTTCGGGTTTCGTCTAGCGACCTCAGGAATGTCTTGAAAATCCACACACTGCTCTCCTGACATAAAAAGCGAGGTGACAAAGTGATCCATTCTTACCAGGGCCTACTTGTACAAAGCGATCTTATTGCTAAGATGATAGTAACGCCTATACATCAACATAGCTTAAGATAATCTTACCGCTAAGATGGCTTTGTGCAAGTGGGTCCTGGATTCCCCATGGTGTTGATACACTGTATGCTTAAAGATACCTTTGTACAGATGGGAATCATTTAATATTTAACAATTATTAATTGTCACTTGCAAATAAACCACTCATGTCATTTCCGATAATATAGGGTTTCATCAGAACGTATGCCACCACCTCTCATTTGATATTGAGACTGTTGAACATGTATGCAGAAACTACGTTTACCTACCAGTTTGAAAACACACCACATGCAAAACGGCAGTTGCCATGAGTATAACATTCCATGCCATCATTATTCGGTGATTCCTGTCGAAAGATAATTCAAAATAAATTTCTCATATCATTTTCTAGAAATAATTTTCTCGTTATTTCAAGTTTTTCTTTTAAAAATCGGCATTTCGAAATGTTTCTGGTTGCTTCGAATATTTTCTCGTTATTTTGATTATTTTAACGTAATTTCAATTATTTTTTTATGTCAAGAATTTCGAGAGAATTAATTGAAGTGACGAGAAAATATTCGTAGAAACGTGAAAAAACTCGAAATTTCGAGTTTTTGAAATATACTTAAAATAACAAGAAAATAATCGAAATTACGAGAAAATAATCGAAATTGCGAGAAAATAATCGAAATTACGAAACAATAATCGAACAACGAGAAAATAATCGCATAAACGAGAAATAGTCCCTCCATTCAAGTATATAATCAATTTGCCTCGTGATAACCTACACGTATGTTTATGGGATACAATAATGACAAACCTCATTTGCCACTTGAAGGTTGCCAGCACAGTCTTGGTCACTCGGTCATGAGTTGTGATACCAAGACTGATGAAGCTACTACTTATATAGCTCACAAGGGGGAAGTTTGTTCAAGGTCAAATAAGCGGATTTCGCAAGTTTCGTTTGTGGCCGTTTGGCTGTTTGAGCGTGGCCACGTTTGATTCGTCGCAATATAATCACACCACATCATTATCATTGCTGGTGCTAAAGGAATATATATATATATAACCTTTCGATATGACAGATCAGACCATGTTACTGGAAGTTACGAGGTAAACAAAATTTCATTGGTATATCTACTTCCTTGTAGAAGGTGCGTCATGAATCTCTTCACTAAGAACACTATTAACAATGAATGAATCATAGGCTTTGGTATATACAGGCGCTTGTATACTGTAGTCTGAATTGGGTATTCATGTTAAACTGTGGCATGGTATCTCAGTGGGCTAGCACTATAAATCGGCATCAGTTCGGTCTAGTACAAGCAGACACACACACACGCGCGCGTGAGCGCACGCACACGCACACGCACACGCAGATGTCGCTATATAAGTGCAATAATCTTGGACCTCACCGCCTGAAAAGTCAAGCATTAGAAAGGCGAAACCTAACACGAACTGGACCTTTTAAATGAGCTGTGTTTAAATAACTCTCTGTTCTTCAGTTGGAGATGAAGAATGGCGTTTTTTCTCATGGTTTTCAGCGAAAGTTTTATTGGTAGCCTGCGCAAATTATTTCACTCAAATTAAATATATAGCTTGCTATAGATTCATGTTTTAGCGGACAAACGTTGCAGAAAGAAAAGCATAGCATATATCATCATGTTCATATAGCTTACATACATACAAAGTTCAATTCTTTCAAAACATTTGTGTTTTAAACTTAGTATACAACTATATATCACACGATGAATGTCATATGATCCATTGGGCATTTGTCACGAAACGTGAAGACCATAGATATATCTTAGGTCTCGCTCACTCAAACACCCACCCACCGGCTCATTCACTCACTCACTCACTCACTCACTCACTCACTCACTCACTCACTGATTCACTCACTCACTCACTCACTCACTGATTCACCCACTCACTAAAATAAAAAATCAAATACCATCTGAAGTTTAGTGAGAAAACAATATTGAGATGCTGAACTTCCAAAACGAACACGGTACATACTCACACATACACAGTACATACTCACGCATACACAGTACTTACACATACACAGAACATACTCACACACACACAGTACTTGCACATACACAGACCATACTCACACATACACAGTACTCTCACATACCCAGTACATACTCACACATACACAGTACACACTCACACATACTCACACATACACAGTACTCACACATACACAGTATTCACACATACACAGAACATACTCACATATACACAGGACATACTCACACATACACATACGCAGAACATACTCACACATACACATACGCAGAACATACTCACACATACACAGTACATGCTCACACAAACACAGTACATACTCACACATACACAGTACTCACACATACTCAGTATTCACACATACACAGAACATACTCACATATACACAGTACATACTCACACAAACACAGTACTTACACCGTACAGAACATACTCACACATACACAGTTCATACTCACGCATACACAGTACTTACACATACACAGTTCATACTCACACATACACAGTACTTACACATACACAGAACATACTCACACATACAGAGTACTCTCACATACACAGTACATACTCACACATACACAGTACATACTCCCACATACACAGTTCATACTCACGCATACACAGTACTTACACATACACAGAACATACTTACATATACACAGTACATACTCACACATACACAGTACTTACACATACACAGAACATACTCACACATACACAGTACTCTTACATACACAGTACATACTCACACATACACAGTACATACTCACACATACACAGTACTCACACATACACAGTATTCACACATACACAGAACATACTCACACATACGCAGTACATACTCACACATACACAGTACTCATACATACGCACAAAGCACTCAAATATAGGCCATGGGCTACTTAGGTCCACCGTGCATTCCCCCCACCTCCCAACAAAATCTACTTTTTCTGAAAAATTAGTATGTCCTGAACATGAAATCAGATGTTAACATTAAAAATATAGGGATGCACTTCCTGTTTTCATCATGGAGGTACCCTCAAAATCGCGATTTTGCAATCCGCGTCGAGAGTCATTTTTGTACTGCAACAGAAAGGTCAATAAATGTCTTTAAAAATTGTTCAATTTCCATGTGTAATATAGCAAAAATAAGCTGAAATTTATTCCAGTTAAAATTATGTTATTTTCATTTAAATATAATGACAAGTATAGTGGCTATTAAACTTTTACTTAGTATAACACATATATGCAAATTCGCTCCACGCAGATCGCTCAAACTTTTCATTTCTCGGAATCCCGGATCTGTGTAGAGTTGCATCTGGGAGAGACATGGTTTATTCAGTATAACTCGCATTATAGATATATTTTGATAGTTTGCCCAAACTAGTTATATTGCAGGAATTCTAATACGATATGAATAAACATCACATCAACATACTTGCATAACATTGACATGGGAATCAAATAAATTCCTAGTGTCCTCATTTTAAGGACATGAATAATGATAATCTTCGGTAAAGTGTATATTTTCCATTTTACAGGCAGAACACCATGTAATATGTCTTAATATTCGTCGACATTTCACAATAAAAACTAGCAGGAACAGTTACTAAGGCTTTTCTTGGCTATTCGCATTCTCCAATACCTAACATTAAAAAACCCCATTAAACTAAATATATGATACAAACAGATACAAACTGCATTCATGCTGAATTTGTTTTAAGCTTGAAATCTTATGACGATGCCCTGCAGTGAAATCATGGCAAAAGGGAATAATTAGAACATATGAGTATAGATTAGCTGTATATGTAAGTGTCGGTCATTCCCAAAATCCACATTTAAACTGCTGATGTTCAAACCATCGATTATGGACATGCATGCATTTTCACCCGGTTCTCTTGTATGACATGACATGACATTTCCCTTATGAGTGAGTGAGTTAAAATTTAACGTCTCATCGGCATTATTTCATCCATATAGCGAAATATCCCTTATGAGAGTTGTGGGGTAGCTTTGTGGTCAAAATGTTTGCTCACGCAAAATATGTTCGAGTGAGTTAGTGAGTTTGGTTTAATGGCGAAAAGAAGTATTATTTCAGTTATATGAAGGCGGGTTAGCTTGATATCAGAGAAAAGCCCCAAGTGCTGCAGGTCTAATATGTGTACCACTTTAGACAGTGGACATGGTGCTAACAAACCAAGACATATTATCTGGTCACATCTGGGATCCGAACTCATGATCATAGCTTTCTGGCATTGGCAAGTGAAGCAACTCTGAAGGGAGAGTGTAATGTCAGATGTAGTTGTAATGTACTTGTCAGCTTATTATTACAAAGAAGAAATGAAGAGAGTAATATAATAGGAACAGTCGACCACACGTTATGATTACATCATGCCAAAGTGCCCATGCATACCTTCTTTAATAATTTTGCTGCTAAGGTAGGATCGAGATATAGATCCAGATGTTATGTGGATGGCAAAGTAGATATCAAATTAAGGATTGTCTTTTTATTTTGCGTTTTGTTACATGTTTTTCTGTTCTAATGTATTCCTCGACGAATTCGCTGAAGGAAATTACTGATTTGAAAATTCCTCGCTTCTGCGTCAGGGTTATATTTTTGGTTTGGTTCAGATTGAAATGGATTTGGAACAAGTTATCCAACTTAGGACCCTCTCTCCATGGTATTTTCAAAAGCTTGTACACTAAAGCATCTACAATAAAAACAGAAAAGAAGATAAGTGTTTAGATATAGAAGGAATGTACAAAAGAAGAAGTATTTTACATTCATAAGTTACCGTCATTTGCACTGCCTTAACGATATGTTGATTTTCAATAACGAACAAACATTCATTTCCGTTTAACATCAAACTTAAATCGAATTTAGCATTGTTGTTCCCGGCGTTCTGTATAATGTCCCGAATAATTAT